ACACACACACACACACACACACACACACACACACACACACACACACATAGCCTAACAAGGATTTAGAAAATGTAAGAAGTTCTGGAAAGGCAATCATATTAACAAATGGTAAATGACAGCTACAAAAAGGAAGGGGAAAAATTTAATCCTAAAGTCAAGTAAGTAGATAACATCATAAATGAAAAACAACAATCTATATAAAGGGCTACTAAAAAAGATAGAGAGATCCAGACAGATATGTATGTATATACATACATACATACATACATACATACATATACACATTCAATTTGGTATTGGTCAATGAGCAAAACAGAATAAAAGTGTACCTCACTCTGTATGTTTTTTTCTAGTTCCATACATTTGCCTGAAAAATCCATGATGTTATTTCTTAAACAACTGAGGACTAAGGCAAATATGTTATAGACACAGTTATAAATTGACAATTCCTATAAAATAAAGGATAATCATACTGAAGTCCATACACCTAAAGAGGCTAAGTAACAAGAAGGAATCAAGGGAGGATGTATGTATTTCCTTGGGAAAAGAAACTAGAATAGATTTCACAGGTAGACTGGGAGTGGTTGGAGCTGGAAGCAGGAGGAATCGTGTGTGGATAAAGGGAGAAAGTACAGGGAAAGGTGACTGGATTTGGGGGGGGGCAAAACAGGGACAAGGTAGACATCCACTAGTGCAATGGAAACTCCCAGGAATCCATGAGTGTAACCCTAATAAAGACTCCTACTGATGGGTCTTTTTAAAACTGATTTTTATTGAGCTCTACATTTTTCTCTACTCCCCTCCCTGCCTTTTCCCTTCCCCCTTTAACCCTTTCCCAAGGTTCCCATGCTCCCAATTTACTCAGGAGATCTTGTCTTTTTCTGTCTTATGGAGCCTGAACCATCCTTCTATAACCAGGCAAGAATTCCAGTGGAAGTATTCAGATATCTACCCATCCACAAAACCTTAGACCTACAATTTGTCCTACCTGCAAGATGCACTGGATCCATAACTACTGAGAACCCCTGTCTTGATAAGAAAAAGAAAGAAAAAAGGGGTCTATAGATATATAGGATAAAAGGGTAGATTGTTGAATCTACTCAAAACAAAGAGAGGATGTAGATATGATAAGATAAAAAGGCAGAATATTGAATCTACTTTAAAAGAGAAACTACTAGTTTTAAATTCCATTTGAATTTGTATATTGTATAAAATTTTGTACATTGATACAAATTTGAGATCAATTTTATTAAAACATACTGTACATATATTTCTACCTTTGTTCAAAGTATTGTACCTGTATAACTCATTTAACAATGTGATGCAAATTTCTGGTCCTTGAAAATTATTATTATCAACAATTTAGGATAATAAAGAACTATAGTTTAGTCATTAATCTTCTAGTGTAATTGAACTTGGAGTCATGTGAGGTGTGTTTTCAAGGTCAAATAAAGATTAATTTTAAATAAGCAGGTAATCTTCAAACACTTTAGAGATCTATATAATCTTGAATTTAAGATGTTTTAATAGCTTAGGTTCTTCTTTTTTATGACAATTAGACACATCTGAACCTGGCAGCACCAATCTACTTCATAGAAAATAATGGACATTAAAGAAAATCTACATGGAGTTTATTATCTTTTTGACAAACGTAAGTCACTTGGCAAGAAAGTGCCCTTTCCTCAGCTGCTGACAGTATGCTGTACCAATTAGACAAGAAGCACACAAAGTGTTCTGCTTTAAGGAAAAATCTCTTATATATGCTAGGCCAGTAGGCTAAAGACAGATGCCCCAACTTTGTAGAGGAACTTTGAGTGATTGTCCAGTAAGCCTTCTGTTTCTGTCATTACTCACATATTTTAGAAGTTATTAGATTGCTCTTCCTGCATACTCAGTTACTATTGTTTCATTTTGTGTCTCTGAGGGAGTTGAAGACTAGCTAGTTATAGTAACAGTCATTCTTGTTTACAAGACTCAGAAAAGAATTCACTGAAGAGATGTAAAAGATATAAGGTTAAAAGATATCAAACATAGTTTGGGATGGTAATGCAAGCTATGATAGAAAGTAAATTAAGTACAAGACTTTGGACTCACCAAGATAGCATAGCATAGATGTGGTATATTTTCTCTGAATTTATCAAATGTAAATTGACTAGACATTGTTGATGTAATTATTTCCACATTTATTTTATATAGTTATTGTACTTACTGTATATAATTTTCTTATATTATTATAGCCTTCTTTTTATTTTAGACAAAAGGGAATATGTACCTGCATTTTAATTGTAGTCTAATAAGTAATGCTTGCCTGAATATCAGAGAGTAAACAGCTGCACTGGTCAGCCTTATAGACCAGGCAGTGGAAACACCCACTTTTAATCCCAATACCCACACTAATTTGCCATAGAAACTAGGTGGTGTGTGCCTTTAATCCCAGTAGTGCAAACCTTAATCCCAGGACTAGAGAGGATTATAAAAGAGGAGGAGACAGTTCTTAGACACAATCTCACTCAGAGATTCATGGAGGTGGGATCACCATTTTTGGACTGAAGTCGAGGTATGATCCAGTGGCTGGCTGCTTTGCTTTTTGGGTCTTCAGGTTGGACCCCAATATCAGTCTCTGAGTTTTTACTAATTGTGCTTCAGAGATCCATACCAACATCTTAGTCAGAGAACAGAGAATCCTATGGAAGAAGGCAAGGAAGGATTATAGGAGCCAGAATAGCCAAGGACACATGAAACCCACAGAATCAACTAACCAGGACTTATGGGGTCTCACAGAGATGAACCAAAAACAGGGAATCCGTAAGGGTCTGACCATGGTCTTCTGAGTACATGTTATGGTGGTGTAGCTTATTGTTCTTGTGGGACTCCAAACAAAGAGTGTGGGCTGTTTCTGACTCTTTTACTTGAGTCTCAGATCTCTTTCCTCCCACTGGGTTGCCTTGTCCAGCCTTAATAAGAGTACTCCTATCATTTTAACTTGACATTCCAGGTTTGTCTGATATCTCTGGGATACCTCCTGTTTTCTAAAGAGAAAGGAAGAGTTGGTCTGGGGAATACAGAATTTTGTGGGGGAGAATCTGAGGAAGTGGAAGAAGAGGAAGTGACAGTCAGGTTGTAATATATAAAAGAAGAATAAATTAAAAAAAGATTAAAAGGGAAAGTATAGAATGTTCTAAAGGAAAAAGAATTAACAGATGCAAAACCAACTCTGATGTGACCCAGAAATTGATTTTTAGTAAGACACTTTAGCATGGCTATAAAATTATTTTCTATGATGTATAATGAATACTTTTGAAATAAATGACAATGTCACAGTCACATTTCTTGGCAGAAAAAAAGAAACAAGTAGAAGAACTAAATAGCAATATTAGAAATAAGAATTATTATTTCTCAAGGAAATGACATTGTGATAAAGAAAGAAGCCAGAGATGTCTCAATAGCAAAATTCTATAGCTAAATAAAATGACAGATGAAAATTTTGCTTAAAATGGGCCTATGTATACATATATTTATATATATATATCATATTTATGTAAACATAAATTTATTGGAATGACTGGCAGGCTGTCGTCCAACAATGACTAGTTACAAATGGAAAGTTCAAGAATCTAGTAGCTGCTCAGTCCCATGAGCCTGAGTATCCCAGCTGGTCTTCTGAATGTGTTGACAGGGCTAGGGAAAGATTGCAAAGAAGAAAGAACTCTTTCTTCCTTCTTCCACTGTACTTACATAGGTTTCCAGCAGAATTTGTTGCCCATATTAAAGGTGTTTCTTTCAGCCTCAAGGTCTGGATTAAAGGCACGTTGTTGGTTTTTCTTCAAGATCTCTATCACAGGTGTGTCCTCTGTTTCTGTTAATTCATTCCAGATGTAATCAACTTGACCACCAAGAACAGCCAACACATTATACAAAAAAGTGGACTTTAGAACCAAAACTATTTACTCAGAGAATGTATAGGTGTTTAAAGTTATAAAAGAAGAATTCTATAAAAAAAATATTATATAAGAATTAGCCAGAAATATGCTTAGGTTATTGACCAAACAGTATTGCAAATAATATAGCTTCCATGTGGTTATTTCAGGTCTGAGCAGTTGGGAACAAACAAGCGACCTCCTACTACAATATTGAAATTTGCAGATATGAAATTTTAATGACAAAGTCTCAAAATATTTGTCTCACAATATTGTAGAATGTAAGTGAGAAAACAAAAAGTCCCCAACTCTTACATAATTAAAATTAAGAAATAATCTTAATAGTTCTTAAAATATTAAAACCAAAATTCATAAGACTAAAGGAGATCTAAGGAATACTGTTCACTATACAAAAAACTGCAAAATGTTTTCCTAATAGCCTGATAAATCTAATATACAATTCTGATCCTTCAACTGTGTTATGGTCATTTATCCAACATAAATTCAAATAGTTAGTATATATACTGGTCTCAGCTTTGTTTATGGTTTCTAAACCCTGGAAAACTAAACACTTTTACACTGCATAGTTGAAGAGAGGACCTATAGACATTTGGATGTGACTATTGGGAGAACAACAGAGACAATGGCGATTTTTGTCTTGTCCATAATTATGCTTACTTACACTGTGCATTTATTGGCCAGAGCTCACAGTCTTGTGGCACAGGAAGCAAGACTGCATGAGATAAAAATCTCATGAAAGTCTCTGGATTTTCCCCTTGCTTGCTTGTCTCCAATTTTGGACTATTCTCATATCATGAGTATATCCACTTATTGCATGATAAAATTTGCAATGAAGCTTGCAAATAATGACTAAATTGTTGATTTGGTAATTCAGTGTTTGAAAGTCACCAATTTTGAATATTGAAATAATGAATGTCTCAGTGTATCAACAAATTTATATTGGGTTTATGGTAAATGAGATATCATTTCTAAGTTTGTTTCACAAATTCAAATCTTGGCTATTTTGTCACACTCTGAGACTCTGGGTGTTTTATTGGTATACTAAGTAGTACTTCAGGCAAACATGCTGGCTCCTGAATATTTTAAGTTATATTAAAAATATATCATTGTAGCACAAAGGGAGAGCCCCCTCAAAAACCTGTTCAAATAGATAAGGGTACCTGCCTGCTGAATGTCCTTTGGGTCATCACACTAAGCCCTAGAAGCTCCTGTTTGGAAAAGTTCAAACATAAATCTCCCTATCATGTCTCATGTGGCCTTCTTTTCCTCTGTATCCTCTATATGTCTCTTAGCAGTCACTTCTTAGTATCAATCACTGCCACCCTCAATTTGACCTCAGAACACTTTATGTATGTTACTCAGTGTTCGTCACTTCTACCCATGAGCTACTCCCGACAAAGCACAGTTTCCACACTGCTGGCCCTCAGGGAAGCCTTCCTGATCAGTCTCATGGCCCTCTCCAGCGGGTACAAGTTGACTCTCCTGTGCAGGCACAAGAAGCTGTCTCAGAATCTTCACAGCACCAGCCTCTCTCCAAAAGCATCTCCAGAGCTAAGGGCCACTCAGACCATCCTGCTGCTTGTGAGCATCTTCATGGTTTTTTACATTTTGGACATTGTTATCTTCCACTCAAGAATGAAGTTCAAGGATGGCTCAATATTCTACTGTATCCAGATTCTTATGTCCCATAGCTATGCCACAGTCAGTCCTTTTGTGCTGATTAGTACTGAAAAGTGTATAATTAAGTTTTTGAGATCAATGTGTGGGAGGACAATAAATATTTGATTATTCAAAAAATATATCATTGTGCTACATAACTAGCAGGTTGAGAGAGAAAGAAACAGAAGAGTAACTAACACACATATGCATATATACACATAAATGTTCATGTACACACATAAACATACACAACCTTACATGTACAAATAAACACACACACATAAACATTTGCATACATACATGCACCAGTACATATATACAATCTATTGGACATGCAGACACAGACACAATCTATTGGAATCACATAAGACAATCACTCATTCTTCCTTTTGTGAAATTTTACTTTCAACACAAAATGCTGGTTCTATGTTAATGCTTCATTGACTTTTTCTATTTTATCTTTATATATGTTTAATTTTTATTTAAAATTTGAAAATGTCTGCTTCACACTTATTAATGAAGTACAACATAATGTTTTAATATAGATAAAAGTTCTGCAGTATTAGATAAGATTGAACCTATTTTCTCCTTAGAATTTGTTGTCATGAAAACAATCTAAATCCTTTCTTCTGGCTACTTGAAATATTCTGTATGTTACCTATAGCTATCCTGCTGAGAGTTACACACCCAAACTTCTTGCTACTTAACATTAACTGAGAACCTAATTAGCAGCTCTTTCCTTTACTTAGCATTCTCTTAAAGTATGATTAGCTTGAGAAATGATAGATATCACTCATCTCTACATGCATCTATACCTATGCCTGTACCTATTAATCTATCTATACTAATGCTGTGCATTAATTTGGATAAGAATATAGGATGCACAGTAAAAGTAGGTCTATAAAAAGTACAGTAGTTTGAAAATGAAGAGAATTTTCATAGTAATAGACTTTGAACTATACTACCAGATGCCTGTAATCTAAGTCTCTTATACTGATTATGAATTTTGTATAAAAGGATAAAGTCCCTCTCTACATCTCTCATCTTTTTCTCAATCACACACACACACACACACACACACATTCTGATCAAAAGCACAATTAGAATGAGCATAAATGATTAACTTAAGTATCAGAACCAGCCACTTCATGGAATGAGTATTGTTGTGTTTAGGGATACTACAACTTTAACTTACAACTTGAACCCTGTAGGGATCTGTATCACTGAGCTACAAACCTACTCTGTAAGAGAAATTTCAGATTTAAAGATAGCAAGAAACTAAGGTTGATAAGGGGTAGGTAAAACAAATAATATCTTCACACATGCAAAACAAAAATTAAGCTTACACATGTGTTTCTATAATGTTTACCATCAATTGCTAATCCAAGTTAGGTAAAAGAGAAAGCGAAAAGATTTTAATTCAGTGATTTTAAAATATTAGTATACTGTACAGAGATTATTAGTCATGAGACTCTCAGAGAGTAAAACATTTGTAAGAAAAGAATGTCACCATGCAGTAGCATCTGCGCTCCTTGAAAATTAAATACGTAAGATGACAAATGAAAGAAAATAAAAGCACTAGAAAAATATAAAATAATGATTAGACTGTTTTTTCATAAAGGATTAAATAAGATGATTGGTATTTGTTTTGTAAAAGTGTCTTCTTACTTCATATATCTTTCTAAAGAACAGACAGCAGCCAAGGAACCAATTATACAGATACTTCACAGAGATCAAAGTAAGACTTGCTGTCTCTTCCTGTGTTCTTCAACGGTCTTCAGAATTAGCTGCACAAAGTTATTTAAAGCTATGAGCTTTGTTGACAGAACTCACTCATTGATAAGACACATAAATGAAAATAAATGCATCTCTAAAACCTATTTCACAACATTTTAAGTAGAAAAAATAATATTTATTGATCTAAGCAACTTGCATTTGATATCTTAAGTTTACGACTTTTAACTTGACCTTAATATGTATGTCCTGTGGTTAACTTTTTGATTTATAGTATACAAGATATCTAAAGCTTGATTTTTAAAGTAGATATAGATATTAGAAAATTGCAAATTGGGTCTTGTTTCTTCTTTTTAAAACTGATACATAATTAGTGATTTGCTTTATACCTGTGTTATTTATGGGGAAAAAGAATGAATAAAAAAAATTTGGAATTTGCTTGTCTGCCAGCTTTTTGTTTTGTTTAACTTAAATTATCTTGACTACCTTTTCCCTCTAGGCTTTTATCTTTCTTATTTCCGGAATCTTAGTTTTCTTCTTACTCCATGGCTGCCTGAGTGGCTGGCCGCTATGTCCTCCTCTCCTTGTTCTCTCATTGCTCCTTGTTCTCCTTTCTCCCAGATTTCTCCTGTTTATACTCTCTGCCTGCCATCCCAGTCTCACCTCTTCTTGCTTGCTGTGGGAACTCCTTTGTCCAATAGCCTTTAAAATACTGGCCCAGTTTATGTTTGGTCTCATATATAAATATACTATAAATGCAGATGAAAAGTGTATGCATGCCTCTTAGCTGCTGGATTTAGGTCCAGTTCCCAGCACATACAGAGAACTGCAGATTGCTACACTTTCTGTGAGTTTATCCTCAGATAAATAAATCTTTGTTATACTCCATTGTGGGCTATTGTGAAGCTCTTTTGTATGCCAACAAATTGGTGTCCACGTAGCCAGAAAGCATGCAATTGCCAGGCCCTGTTCAGATCCCCGACAGCTGCCTTCTCCCACCCACAACTGAACTGGCCTTCTGACACACAGCTGCCCAGCAACTTGGCAGTTTCCCACTGCTGGTGCCTCCATGTCTTGGTTCTGCCTACTAGGCATCTTACTTACTGCAACTTACGGCTTTTTTAGGAGTCTTCTGTGGCTTCTCTGGCATCTGCCAGGTCTGATAGGATCAGACTGAGCTCTTACTCTGGGAGCAGGGGTTGCTTTGACTTGTGTTCCCAGTTAGGATCTGTGAATGCCTGGCCTGAGATCCAGCCAGTAACCTCACAGTTCAGGATTGCCTGCAAGCTCTGGGTACATTCATATTCTGCCCAACTCGAATGTCTCCATATATGGATTGTTGCTCTTTAGTGATTAACTAAATTTGTTAGTAATTAAGTCTTAGGTAACTCAGGTACTTAATTAGGACCTGCACTACTGCTGCAAATACAACACACCTGTTGGCCAGTAAAGATTGTTACATCTAAAACAATTTTATGAAAGGAAGTTAATTTGATTAATAAATAAATTATATATTTGAAAATTGTAAACCAACCCTAAAACAATTGCAGACAATATCACCATCCATGAACTTAATGACATTTTTGTTTCTACTATGGATGGAATTCTGCAAGAGCTATGTAGCTAACTTGTAGATATATTTTTGTGATCATGGCAGTTATTAGCTTTGTTTTTCATGTTATATTCTTAAAGAAATGTTTTGATAACAGAGTCAAGAATGAGAAACCTTTTAGGAAGGATACAGCTTTAGCTGAAAGGATCCATGGTATTGAAAATGATAACCTTAATTTGATAGGCAAATTTTAATCCATGTCACTAGGTTATGAAACCTTACAAAAGGATAATGAGAGATATCTAAAAGGATTCATACTATTGAAATTGACAATCACAATCTGATAAAAAGTTATGATAAGATAGTAGACAGAACATTCCTCCAGAAAGGCAATCTAAATGCCATGCAAATGATATCTACAGATGAGAAGATTTCATTAATGGAAAAATTTAAAACCTTGGAATCACATGTGCAGAATGAGAACCAGAAATTAATTGATTTCAGGAAATCATTATAATTATTCACAGGTTAAGTGATTCAAGCTTTACAAAAGACAGTGATAAAAAGATTTGAATCAATTGAGGAACTTGTAAAAACTGATAAGCAAAGAGAGCAAGTACAGCAAAGGATTTAGCATCAACAATGCCTCTCAGAAAGAAAGATGACTTATCAAGAGTTTCAGATACTTATCCTGTTGTTACCTTTGAAAAGTCAGCAAATACTCAATACCCAAATGAATACAAAGAATGCAAATGGAAAGCTATAGGCATAAACGATCTAAAAGAAATTAAACAAGCAAGAATACCACATGGCATGTGTTCAGAATTTGTTAGGTAGATGGTTAAGACATGGGCTTCAAACAATAGGGTCACTACGCATGATTGGCTTCAATTAGTCTCAGTAGTGCTAGAAAATGGGTGACAATTACAGTGGACATGCTATTGGAGAGAGGAGACTAAAGTCCTAGAACAGCAAGGTAGTGTCAAAAGATTTGAGGCTTCCCAAAATCAAATTCTTGGTAAGGGCCATAATACTGATGCACGGAGTCAAGTTGTTTACAGTGAACAAATCTTATCCCTTTGCCATACAGCTCCTTTCTCCTATGCCATACAGCAACCTTGAATGCTTGGGACAAGATTCAAGACGTAAGAACAATAATTGAATCATATACCACATCATACAAAGCCTCTTTTGTTATGTTTTACAATGATTAACCAAAGCTGTACAAAAAGGACTAGCAGATCCAGAAGTTTGGTAAATACATTCTGAAGCTCTGGCTTTTGAAAATGTCAGCTTAGAATGCAAAAAGATGATTGGACTTTTAAAGGTCAGATCAGAACCAATGAATGAATAGATCCTGCACACTGTCAATGTTGTCATTTGACTATAATCTGAGGTTCAGGTAGGGTAAGCTATTTCCAAAGGTATGAAGAGACATCAAAATGCCAAATATTTTAATTGTGGTAGGGCAATTAAATGTTGAATTAAATTAAATGATGGGATATCTGAGAAGAAATTGTAGACAAGGCATTCCACAAAACAATGGTTCCACTAGAAATGACAAAAATACAAGATCTTAATATTCTGGATTATGTAGAAGATGCAACAAAGGCCAACACTGGACCAATGAATGTAGATCAACAAGAGACAAACAAATCAATACATTACCACCAGGAAAGTCCTTTGGGGCCTCTCGCAGGCCCTCAGGTAAAATGTGGTCCAGGCATTCCCATTCACTGTGGAGAACATGGCTCCCTAGGAAAATTAAAAAATCTAGTGCCTGTTGTAAAAAACCATACTGCTTTTGATGATGGAATAAGCATGTAGAATGAATCAAAAATTCCAA